CCACATTTATGTTGCTCCTATGTTATGTTCACTGTCTTTAGAAATTGTCCAACATCCAAAGCCATATAGAAGGGTTGACCATAGCTTTTCAAACCTTTCGTATTTGTAGTCATTGAAATGTTTCTCTTTTTAAGGAATTGGCTCATTTTATTGAAACTAGCCTTAGCCATTGCATTTCTTCGTTTTATTTCAGTGGAACATTTGGCATCAGATGTTATTATATATATATCCTGGATATTTAAAATGTTGGACTTGTTTGATCTTTTCGCCTTTGCGTATGAGATTACAAATTGGATTTGCTGCTTATTTTTAAAAATTTATTTTAGAGATTACCATGCTTTCTGTTCTCTTCACATTCAACAATAATCCTTTACGTTCACTTTGTCATTACAACAATATCTAGATCTAGAAGCGATTGAAGACCCTTTTCTGAGTCTGCTATTAAAACTGTGTCATCGGCATTTCTGAAGTTATTGATATTTTTGCCGTCCACTTTGAGACCTGGACATTCTGCTATGTTCTAAGGGTTGTTTCACTGTACATGTTAAAGAGGTCTGGTGACATAACACATCCTTGCCTCACTCCTCTTACTCTAATCTGCTTATATTCACTGTGTTCTCCATTGAATTCGCTCAGCAGAGTTTTGGTCCCAGTACAAATTCCTGATAATTCAAAGATCTTTTACATCTACTACGGGCATACCAAAAGATTTTTTAAGCTGACCATGAAGGAATAAGGGTACAAAGCTGAAATTTGGCACTAAGCTGAGTCTATCTCTATGTAGTCACCTCAAATAGTCACACATTTTTGCCCTCAGTGTATGGCCTTGAAAAGACCCTGAGAATAGAGGACCCCCTCTCTGTCCGGAAACCAGCCCTCTAATGTCCACGAATCTGCATTTGAATTATTTACACCAAAATTTCATCACAGCATAGGATCGGCAATCAGTTCCATATGCGGCATGCATATTCGTAAAACATATCCTGCTGTTGCTTGCCTTGCGAGAACAAAAAAAAATCATTACTGCCCTGTGCTCAATTTTCTTCATTTGTATGTTGAAAATGGAGAACGACATACCCCCATTCACTCACAATTCGCTGGTGGTGAAACCAGTAATTGGAAATTTCCCAAACTTGACATGCATTCTAGGAAGATGATTTTTGGCTTTCATCCCAAATTTCAGCCATCTACCTTTATTCTTTCAAGGTCAAGTAAAAAAAACTTTTGGTAAGCCCCTCGTATGTCTAGCTCTTCCACTAATTAAATAGCTCATCATGTCTAACCTTATCGAACGCCAAGTTGAATGATCTATAAAGCATAAATAAAGATCTTTCTGTGCTTCAGTTCATCTTTCCGTTAACATTGGTAAGGTGAAAAAAACATTTCTAGAGCCCTTGTTGATTCCAAGGTAGGTGTTTGGATCGAGCACGTAGTGTTCTTTGATCATCATCAACAAGTACACAGTGAGATAAAGATTTTCCAGTTTGTAAAGTCACCC